TATTCAAACTGATCATGTCAATTTACATTATTTCTTCATCACAAAATTATTGAATAACAAATAAATTCATTGAGCTGAAAAGCTTGTGACATTTGATTTTACATTAAAATATAAATCAGAAATATTGAATTTTGTTAACACTTTTTTACAGTAACAAAACTACAAATTTTTTGATATGCAAGAGCATAAAGTTAAATTACTTTTTACTCTACAACAAAAATTGAACTTCAGTTTAATGAGAAAAGTTATGAATTTCAACACATTTATCTTAACAAAAAAAAATTGTTTGAAAAATCTTGCTTCAAGATTGCTAATGATAAAAACAGTTAGCAAAAAAAATGCTTATACTTCATTAAAATCAAGCATGTATGAATTGTTATAGAAAATTTAAAAAAAAAACACTTTTTTTATTGATACTTCTGAAGCTTTAAAAATTGTTAATAAAAAAACAGTTTTTTTACAACAGAAAGATTGAAAAATCTCTTCAGATCAGATTTTATTAATGCAAAATAAGCAAATTTATGTGTTTCAAAATTTCATTTTACAGCAAGAAATTCTACAAATTCATCACAATAATTTGTATGTGAATCATAACAAAATTCAATGAATCTTGAAGCTTATACAGCAAAAATATTATTGAGATAAAATGAAAACTAACATGAAAAAGTATATATTTATTTGTTATATTTGCAATTGTACACAAATACATCATTACAAGTTTTACAGCAAAATGATTATTATTTTCATTGTTACAAAATCATGAAAACACTTGATCATGAATTTTATCATCAGTTTATCATCATCACTGCAAGATGATGTCATTTATGATGTTATATTAATAATGATTGATAAATTTATCAAGATGATTAAGTATTTCTCAACAATAAAAAAAATCAAAATTTCTGAATTAGCAGATATATTTATTAACAAAATTATTAAATGTTATAAATTTTTTGAGTTTATTGTTTCTGACAAAAATTCACTGTTTACTAGCTGCTATTGAACTGATTTTTGTTATCATCTGAATGTTATTTGTTGATTAAGCATTGCTTTTCATTCTCAGACAAATAGTATAACTGAATGATTAAATCAAACATTAAAACAATATTTTTGTGTTTATAGCTTTTATCAGCAAGATAATTGAGCTAAGCTATTACTGATTGCTAAGTTTGCATATAATAACAGCAAGCATTCAGTTATAAATCAGTTTTTTTTTATATTATATAATTATAATCTGCAGATTTTTACTGATCTTTTATTCAATTCATTTTTTCAAGTTTCAAAACTGAGTCAATAACTTCAAAAACTTTATGATACTCAAGAACAAACAATGAAATTGCTGCAACAAGTCTTTGAGACACAAGTTATATACTATAATAAAAAATATAAATCAATGCAATTTAATATCAGCAATATGATTTTATTATCTAGAAAAAATTTAAAAATCTGAAGATTTTCAGAAAAGCTAGATGATTAATATCTAGAACTTTTTTCAGTGATTGTTATTCACAACTCACAAGCTTATACATTGCAGTTTTTCAAAAACTACAGTCAAATTAATTCAACATTTCATGTTTCTTTACTTGAATTTTATTCACAACATAACAGCAAACAATCTTCTAAATCACAATCAATTATTGTTAATGATGAGAAAGAATGAGAAGTTGAAAAAATTTTGAATAAACAAATTTTTCATAACAAAATTCAATATTTAATCAAGTGAAAAGAATATTCTTTGTATGAAAATCAGTGATTATCATTGACTAATTTGACAAATGCTACTGAGTTATTACAGAAATTTGAAATTAAACAAAATTTTCAAACAATAATTAAAAAACAACAAACTAGAAGACAAAAAACTGCTACACAATAACTGCATTTAATTTAAATAACTGAATTTAACTCAAACTGTAACAAAAATCAAACTGATTTTTATTCATAAAAATAAATTGAAAACAACTAGATATCAGACTGAAGTCACATCACAGAAAAACAACAGTTAAATAATTACAAAATTTCTTCATTATTAAATTCAACATCATCTTCATTATATGATACTTTCTTAAACTTTTTTTCAAAATGCTCATTCAGCAATTCATTTAGAATGTACACATTATTAGCAAGAACAATGATAGTATTGCAATGCTTCACTGCAATGCTTCAATCAATTGCAGTTTTGTTGCTGCTAGTTTTCTTACTAAAAATCAATTTAATGTTAGTCACACAAAAAAAACTCATTTATTTTTAATTTGAATTTTCTGTATGTTTTTTCATAAATTTCAGTATTTTTTGAAGTTAAAAACACAAATTTTTGTATAGCTGCAAGATTTTTGTTCAATTACAGCAGAAATGACATGTATTTTTTTTCATTTTTTTAACAATAATCACATTTATCATAATTATGTAAACAAATACATCAAAGTCTTAGTTTTTTTTTAATCACTTGACACATCAGATACACATGAAATGTGATATAGTAATTTTTTCATTGTTATTCAGCAGCTTTTCATTAGACATTTCAACAAAAACAGCATTGATTGTCATAAATTCTGAAGTCAACAGAGCAACAAACAAATCAGTCAATGATACAAATAAAACATTTTTTTTTCTAAAATCAAATGACAATATGTTATTAACAGTTAAGCAAATAAAAAACAGCATATTTATCAGCAACAGTAATTTCAGCAGCAGCAGTAAGAAAATTCAAAATTTCAACAGCAATATCTTCTCTCAGAATGATATCTTTTTCAACAATAATAAATAATTTAACAACAGTTTTATTGCAGTTTTTTTGCTCAGAAGCAAAATGCATCATTCATTATATTTAATATTAACTAGAAAAAAAAATATTGATTGAAAATTTTACAAAAATTCTCTTAGAAAACAAATTTTTTTTAGTCAACAAAACAAAACATTTAGCAAACATTTGTTCAGAAAAACATATTGAACAACAAAGCAAATTTTCTGCTATGTCAACAGCAATTAGCAATAAATTTTCTTTTATCTGATAACAACTTATCTGATGATGTGAGCATTTCTACAAGAAAATAAGCTTGAAAAAGAAAAGAAGAAAAGATAAACTGCTTAAAAACAACTGAGATTTTATATTACTTTACAAGTATGTGTTCATGAACACATTGAAATTTTGAACATCTCACTTTTTAGTTATATTGCTGTTATTTTACTGTTTGTTGTTTCTATACATGTATTGCAAAAATTACTTAAGTGTTCAAAATTAATATTTTTGAGCTTAAGATCAAGCTTCAAATAGAAGAAGAATAATTGTTATATTAATTTAAAGCTTCTTAACACATGAGCTGCTAGTTAGCAGTTATGTTATACTTTGTTTATGACATATTATTTTATATTGACTTTCATCTTCATGTATATTATGAAGAATATATTGTTTTGCTTTTTGAAAAGAGCAAGCAATCAGTTCAATACAACTTAAAGTATAAGCTGATATTTTTTTTTCATTATATAGCTATTGTATAACTGCTTGTTATTTTTTATCTGAAGCTCTGAACTTGCTTGTTCATCTATCACTACATGAATAATTGTCTAAAATAGCTGAGGCAGTTGGTTGTTAAATTCACCATTACAATTTACTTATATATTAACTGAAATTTGAATAGTTTTAACTTTTTTTATTTTATTTTTATAAATTATTTGTAAATATAATTATATAAATATAAATTACTAAATTCATTTCAGTAGAAAATATAACTTAAATTAATTTTTAGAAATTTTTATTTAATTTCAATTTATTATTACTAATTCTTTCTCTGAAAACTACTGAGAATTTCTCTTTAATTTTTTTAAATTAAACTTAATTATAATTAGAAAATTTTTTAAAAACTGCTGAAAACAACTTAAAATCTTTGTTTCATTGAAATTAATTAATATAATTTTGATTTATAATTAATATTTTTTGTATATAATTTAATGATTAAATTATTTAATAAAAATATATATAAAATATTAAAAAAGTTTGATTCAATTATTTTATTTAAATTTTAGTATATAATGATAAGTACTCTGAATTTTAAAATATATTTACTATTTTTTAATTCATTATAAATAATAATTCACTGTTTAATTTTAAAATATAAAGCAAAAAGTGAAATATTTGCTCAAAATCTTGAGAATTTCAATTTTAAAATATTTTTATTAAACTCTACATGAAATTAGACACATATTGATATATATTATGTCATGATTGGATATTATTTGAAAATAATAATAATTAATTAGTTGATCAAATGCATTTAGTACTAAGCACACTGATAATCATATACATCAAATGGTGTGTGTCCTTATGTCATTTTTGTAAAATACGAATTTTGGCGGACTGGCCCCTATAGGCTGCCGTACTGCTACTCCGTTTTCTCATTTGTCCTACATACTACAAAACAGAGACAGATAAGTTATAAGTATGTTTGGCTCATATAGTTAACTTAGGTACATAGTTACTCTCTGGCCATGGATTTTTCTTCACAGAGCACCCTGGTTATCTACATGGCATTTATTCCATGATGATGAACTTGATGCAGACTGTCAGACATATGGCACCAGAATCTCTCCATCATTGGGATCTTGAGGTAGGAGACTAAAACTGGAAAAGAGTCACTTGTTTCATTCGTGGTTCAACCCAATGTATTTGGCAGCCTCAGCAAGAGGAGAATTTGTCTGATTCAAGTATAACTAAGGGATGCCAGGCTGAGATTCACGGCTTTTATTCGTATCAAGCCAAGGCAATCAGTGTATGTATCTTCTCCACACCGCTTCTGGCCTTCCACGGATTCCCGACTGCAACGCCAGACCTGATGATGTGCATACACATACAAGGTTGATCAGTGACATCAGCTGCACGAGAGAGTTAAATAGTAGAGACATTCCAGCCCGTCATATAGCAACTCTCCATACTGTCTATGGTGCTCTTTAAAATATAACTAGAATCGTGTAGCCCCTATTACCGCAGTCGATTCGACCACTGTCAAGCGGCTTTAACTCAGTTGGGAGAGTGTCAGACTGAAGTCCACTTCAGCCCCGTGATCTGAAAGTCGCCTGTTCGATCCAGGCAAGCCGCAGCTTATTAATATTTTTTTTCACTTCGATTCTGATTGGTCAGCCACCACCCTCCAGCCTCGTCCTCTTATCGCTGCCACACCGTAATCGCCATTTTGCCCGCTTTCATCATCGTCGGCAACTTCTTCTTCTCTCTGTTTGCTGTTTGAAACGCTTCTCTCTCTCCATCTCTCCAGCGTCAAGAGCCGTTATTGTTTGCTAATAATCTACGGAATCATATAAATCTGAATTTTACCTCACTTAACTAACTAAATACGGAGACTCGTATCCCGTTTCATTCATTTTCTGCTTCGATTCTAAGCCATCGTCAGCTGAAACGACGATCTGCCGCAAAGCAATCAGCCAAAAGTCCTTGACGAAATCAATCTTGTCTCTTAAAAAGACAGACTTCTACTCTGTACTGCCTCCCTATTAATATTCTCGAATTTATCCCTTTTTGTTCCCCAGCACGGCTTGTTCCGTCGCGCCATACCCGTAACCTTCCAGAACAGCAGGAAGGTTCCATGAAACCATCGTGGATCTAAACATGATGATCCGCCGAAACTCCGATGCGGAATTCTCCCTCCTTGATGCCGGGGTTGACGATCGGGTCCCATCGACGAGTACTCCGGATGAGGAAGATGTCGAAATGATTTCGGAAGATACAAGATCTCCCCTCACTCTTCCACCGCACCTCATCGCTCGTTTTTACCCAGGACTGAAGGATCGGAGACGGGCGGCTGCTTCTTCATCTCGCCGTAGCTCTGTATCGTCCCTTCATTCGTCCGTATCCGCCCACGCAGGAACACAGAGCGATCATTTGGTACAACATATGCGCCGTGCGTCGATTATCGAATCACGAAAGGCGCGGCTGGCGGACAGGGCAGCACATGTAGAGAAGGTCAGGCTACGTGCAGCTCTTGCGAAGAATGGAGCGAAAAACGCCCTGAAGGAAGAACGAGCCTTGGCGGCACAGCAGGCGAGGGAAAAGTTGTTGGCGGAGATCGCTGCCAAATGTGAAGAAGAGGTGCGTCGAGCAAAGAAGAAAGCGGAAGACATAAAGGAACGCAAGGCCGCAGAACATGCAAGGCTGCGAGTTGAGATGGCAGAAAAATTTGCCGAAGTTGAGCGAAGAAGATTGCTCTATCAGCAAACTCTCCGTCGCCCTCGCAGGACAAGTTCTGCGGAGAGGAAGGCTGCCAAGTCACTGTTACCAACGAGGCTCAGTCAGCCTGCTGCTGCATGTATCATTCAAAATGCATGGCGCCATCACCGAACTCGCAACATCATTCGTCAATTTAGGTCCCTGGATCTGTCTTTGGAACGAATTCGCCGCCTCAGTTTTGAAGAGGTTAGAACGTTACTTTCCGAGGAGACTGTCATTAGTGTGACCACGAAAGTTCTCCGTCTGTGTGGGCTTCAGGATTCCGAAGAGAGTTCCATGAGCGAGAAAGGTGCCGTGCGAGTCTTCCTCAGCAGTTATCTGATCCTGTCTCATCCCGCGCAGGTTTTGAGCAGCAACGGAGAGCAGGAACAGGATTTGATTACCAAAGCGCAAGATCTACTCGTCGTCTTCGAGCAGGTGATTACTCAACTTTCATCGATCGGCGCTTCTTCGGTCTCTGTGTCCAGTGACTTGCAGATGCTGTCACAATCCTGCAACACATTCTTCTCTGCTTTCCATGCCTGGAAATCTCACGATTCGACGGTGTTGATTGAGATTATGCTGGCACAGTTTGTCGAGCTTGAGCTCATTTGGCAAACGGTAAAGAATGATCGCGACGGAGGAGTCGCTGATGATTACCAGCAGGGCATCCGTCACAACCAAATATTACTATTAGCCCGACTGAAGCGACTCGCTGGCCCAGACAGAGCCATGGAAATGGTCAAGCAAGCATTAAGAAAATCAAAGCGAGAACGACGCCGAAACGGAGCCTCCACTCAGGCCATACCCCGGGCTGTAACCGAGCAACCATCAGCTGCTGATGTAGCTTGCGAAGATGTCCACTCTCCTCTTCGTGAAGTGTTTTCTACGGATGCCGAGCTTTGGCCGCGGCAACCCTCTGAAGAGGAATTGAACCCCCAGGACCACTTCGTTAAGCTCCTGACAGCGCTGCCGGATAATAGAACACTCGTGCATGAATTGTTAATCAACCGCGAGTTTAAAATAGACGAAGCGTCCTACACCAGGGTCCGGCGACAGCTTATGAAACATATGTGCGACATGATGAGGAAGGACGTTGAAGCTGGCCTTGGCACTAACTGGACAATTGCTATGGCCACGGTCATCCAGGATCGACTCTTACGTTCATTGAAGCCTGGAAATTCATTGCATAATCTGATCAGTGAGGTTTTGGACCCAACCTATATCGAAAACCAGTGCAAGGCCGCAACATTCTCGTACGATGCCTTCTTCGAATTCATGAGTAACATCCTCCCCAAGCTTTGTGCTCCGTTCCGTGACCCAGACATCAAAGCTTTTGCGGAAGATAAATCCGGAGATGCGATTGACCGCCTGGCAAAGTTGATGGGAATAATCGACCTCTTGTCTTTGGACCATACCAATTTCATGTTGCAGATGGCGGCTCCTCAGCTCATTCAAGAAGGGCCAGGGTATGAGCAGCGAGCCTTTAGCGGAGATGTTGAATGTGGAATGGTGACACTTGAAAGAACCAGGCAATTTTGGCGGTCTAATCGCGATGCAATTATCGAAGAAATGAGAAAGAGGGACCCCGAGAATTGCAGTATGGACGTAACGCCGTCCGTCGCGAAAATTTACGCGCAAGGTTTAGTGAATCTTGTCTTGAGCAATGGTAGGTTATCGCCGGATCAACTGCCTGAAACGCTCAATTTAGACCATGCTCGGTTGGAACATCTTCGATCCCAATCATTCAAAATTGCTGCAACTGCTGCAATTTTACTCAGTGCGAAGAATTTGTTGAAACGAGACGTTCGATCCCAGTGGAAAGGGGAAGCAGAACGTATTCTGTCTCTCGATTTTAGCGAAATCAAGCCGGAACGCATTCAAGCTATTCTTGACTCAACACACCCCATGCCTGTGGCAACCAGATCACAGGTTCTTTCCACTATCAAGCGGGTTCTGATGCCTGCTTCTGCGGCATCCGCGACAGCATCTTCATCTTCTGGCCCGGATGTTATGGTGGCTAGCGGGTCGGACCCATCGCCCTTCATGCCATTGTCCAATGCGCCTACCGAGACAACCGCACGCGCAATGTACTTCACCGATCCTGTTGCAAAACTGATGTTGTCTCGGCTTCGCGCGCATGTTCTGGCACGGCTTAGCGCAGCCAGTGCAAGGGAGCGAGTTCGCACGACGAGCACGGCCAGTCAAAGCCTTGCGGCGGCAGGCATGCCGGAATTCGTAAATGAGGTAGGCAAGCTTGTGGACAGCTTGAATCGGATACGCGAAGTAGATTGGATGTGCCATGGTCTGGTATACGAGAAAATTTGGAATGAGGATGCTGAAGAAGGGAAATAGATTCGTGGGAGGCTGTAGATGAGATCTAATGCGGGTGGCTTTGCGTTTCTTTTGGGATTTGCTTTCGATTGTTACAGATATTCTTATGCTCTTTGGATACATAGATTGTGAGTTGGCATGTAGTCACGACTGAATTCAATGCGAACGCTCTTTTGTTATTGTTAGTAAGTTATGTCCGTTTCTTCTGTGCTTCAGACTTACTGTCAGGCTATCTCGAGTACTGTTTTTCGATGTGTGTATGCTTGTTCGAGTTGAACCCTTTCACTAGATCTTAGTCTGGGAAATCCCAAAGGACTCGATTCATCCAGACAGCCAGGCCATCTTCCTTTTCCTGATCGAACCATCTGGCAAAAGGCCAATTCTCCAGTGGTCACAACTGCGTGAAGGAGTCGAGTCTAATTCTAGGGATCTATCACCTGATATTCCCAATATCTCTCTTTCTTCCTTTTTTTCCCAACGAGAAGACCTGTATAATGAACATCCTCAGCTTAGGTGCAGATCTTCTCCACCCATGGGCTTGCGACCCACGCACTTCCTTGAAGTTCCTGCGCATTGTTCATACATTATTATGTAGTGTACGCATGCACGATGCTTCATACCCATTGAACGTACGGCAGAGGGATCCGAATGACAGGCCGTTCAAACTTCTGAGTCCCCGTCGCAAGGAATGTGTTAGTTAGTACAGCCGTCCGGGATCCGGGCCGTCTATTCCCGCCCGCACTGCTACATGTCAGGCGCCGTATCAGCGACTGTTTGTTTGACTGGGCTTGTTTTGCGAAAGACGGATGGTTCCTTGAAAGTGGAGGTCTGAGGAGGGGGATGATGCACGATGGCCAATGAATGAGGGTGATTCTGTTTTCAAAGCTGGCAATACATAACTACACAGAGTGTGTGTGTGTGTGTGAGTGAGATGTGCAGGATTCAACGCTCGCGCATAGTCTACCGAGCAGGAACGCGGAAGGATTCCACTAGTGTGTGTGTGTGTGTGTGTGTGTGTGTGTGTGTGGGGGAGCACTTTTGTTTTCCGGGACAGGTCGCTTCTTGATGTGTTCAGGAATCAAACAACATAGGAATATTGGCTGATAATCAAAGCTCTCTTTGCTGGCTTCTCTATCTTGTAAGCGAGCTGACCTACGACTTTCGAGGAAGGACAATAACCATGGGGTTAACTGTGAGATTTGTGTGAAGCTGAGAGTGACAATTGGACCCGTCCACATCTTGACATTGCATAGCCAAAACAGCAGGAAAGCAAATCAAAATAGGCATACATTGACACAGCCTCTGTTGAAGACCATTGCTCGGGCAGGTCCTCCAGGCTTCAACACCAACGTCTTGTGAGATGGTTATGGGATTGTTGGTGAGCTCGTCATCTATTATTCAGCTTTTGCCTCTGACCATCAGTGATTGAGATGCGGCCAGGCTTCTCATTGTATTCTATGCGTTGGGATGCTTGAGAAGTCCCGTTATGCTATTTGTTTGCTACTATCAAGTACTTTCAATGCCGCGTGAGGATCCCAGGCAAAG